CATTGTTTTTTATACTATTAAATATATAATACATATGTATAATAATATTTTATGGCTATAAGGAAATTACGTTATCGATGGGATTCAAAAATATTGATTTCTGACCATCGCACCATAAGAAAATCAAGCTAAATAAACCATCTTCATTGTTTTACTTTATATGTTTTTTTTTCTTTCTCACAAATTCATGTATATTTATTTTATTTTCAAAGTATGTAATTATTTTAACAAAATAATTTTTGGTTATATTCAAACCAATTTGTAAGACATTGAAATAAATAAAATTTTATACACAAATAAAGGTAATTTGTGTGTATATTTATAAGTTTACACACATATATGGATAAATTTTAACATTTTTAGTGGTTGTTTTGATAAAGTTTGAAAAGGGGGTAAATTTAAAAAGTGGTATTTTTAAAAGTGTATTTTTTAAATTCTCCCAATATCATTCCTATTTTTATCATTAACAATATTATTGTTTTATCAAAAAATACTTAAAAGCACTATAGAAAATTACTATCAAAATTGGACAATTAATCAACGAATAAATTCAAAAGATATGGATGTATGCTTCTATTGTATGATTTAAATAAATAAAATGGAAAAATGTCATAAACATTAAAATTTATTTAATCTATTTTTTATAAGTAATAAATAAATTAAAATAATTAAATTAATATACAACAACCCGCGCATATGCGCGGGACATTACCTAGTATTCTAATAAAATCTTTATTCCTCATTCTGATTAATAGAATACTAGGATTTACCCCGTGGTATACCACGGGTCCATAATTTAATATAGTTGTTTGGTTGGTCATTTTTGTAGTTGGTTTATATAGTCAAGTTTTATACGTGTTTATTTCATTTAATTTTACATACTTTTATGAATTTATATTATAAGTAGATTCATAGATATATGTGATCAACCCGCAGTACACCACGGAATAATTTTGTTGTAAAACAAATTATATTTTAACTTAACCCGTAAAAATATTTTATTATAAGAAAAATATAATCCTTTTTATGTAAACTCAAATCCGTCCAATCATATTTATGTACAATATTATTATATTTTTAAAATTTAGAGTTAAAATATTAATAATCCTTTCAATTAATGTTAGAATATTACGGCATTAGTAAGACTTTCTATAATATTTTAAACCTTTCTAAAAAATTAAAATTTATAATATTTTGAAACTTTTTAAAAATTTAGTTTTCTTAAATATATAACCAGATTAAACTGAATAATTTTTTTAATTTGGATGCCTAAGAAACCAAATTTCATGCTCATTTGCAGTTGGAAACATATTAGTCATATTTATAATGGTTGTGAACTCTTATATACACATTTTCCCTTTATCAATTGAGTTATATAAACCGTTTTCAAAAATTTAAATTGCAAAATGTGTGAATTTTTTTTTTTTATAAATATTTTTATGTAATAATTTAAATGGAAAATAAATAAGATTATATAAATATATTGGAGAGAGATTCAAATTATTAGAGAGATATTTTAGGAAATTTTTTTGATGTAATAAATATTTGAGATTTGCTTGTGATTTAATTACAAAATTTACTTTAAGTTTTGTTATTTATTCAAACGGCAAGGGTTTGATTAAGCAAATATTACAAAATAAAAGGTTATAACCTAAATTAGATTTTAGTACAAAATGTACTTCAAAAATGTTAAGATACTAGGATTTACCCCGTGGTATACCACGGATCCATAATTTCATATATTTGTTTGGTTGATCATATTCGTAGTTGGTTTATACAATCTAGATACGTGTTTATATCATTTTAATTTTATGTAATTTTATGAATTTGTATTATAAGTTGATTCATAGGTATATGTGGTCAACCCGCAGTACACCGCGGGACGATTTCATTCTAAACAAAAAATTATATTTTAACTTAACCCGTAAAAGATTTCAAATATAGCAACCCGTAAAAGATTTTAAATATAGACAACCCTTAAAAAATATAAATCATATTTTTGTAAACGCAACCCGTTCAATCATATTTATGTACAATATTATTATATTTTAAATATTTTTAGAGTTAAAATATTAAGAATACCTTAAAATTTGTTTGAGTTTAAATATTTTAAATATTCTATAAAACTTAAATTAAATATTATAATTTGCAGCTTTTTAAAGTTTTTAATATTTATAATATTTTAAACTTTTTAAAAAAAATTATAATATTTTGAAACATTTTTCAAGTTTTATTTTTCTTAAATAAAGAACCAGATAAAACTGAATAAAAAATTTAATTTGGATACTTGAGAAATCAAAGTTCATGCTCATTTTTAGTTGTGAACATATTAGTCCTATTTATAAAGATTTTGAATTATTATCTAAAATTTTCTACCTTATGTAGATGTTGTACATATATTTTTGTTTCATCGATTGAGCTATATACGTCTGTTTTCAAAACTTTAAATTGCAAAATGTGTGGAAAGAAATTTGTATTTTTACTACAAATTTATTTTATGTAATAATTTAAATTAAAAACAAATAATATTATATAAATATACTGGAGAGAGATACGATTTATTAGAGAGAGATTTTAGGAAATTTGTTTGACGTAATAAATATTTGTTTCCAATTTTGCGATTTTCTTGTGATTTAATTACAAAATTTACTTTTAAGTTTTGTTATTTATTCAAATAGCAAGGATTTGATTATGCAAATATTACAAAATAAAAGGTTGTAACCCAAAATAGATTTTTGTACAAAATGTACTTCAAAAATGTTAAGATAGATATACTAATAATTGTTTCTATAATTCATGTATATAGGAAATTGTTAGTTGTTAATGTTTCTATAATTGTTTCTATAATTAAGGGATTCGATTATGATGGTGTCGAATTAAATTTTATCAGCTTTATTTGTTTCTATAATTTTTTCAACTTATAAGCATATTGGTTTTGTTTAACTTTTTTTTTTAATTGTATAAACTATGATTGACTTATACAAAATGCTTCCCTTTTAATAGTATAGATGAAAAAAATTAAGAAATATTTATTTTTGTTACAAAATATGTATTTGTAATTATAAATAAAATAAATAATGATAACACTTTAGCTACACCAATGAATATCAGTCTTATATTATACATATAAAAAACCTTAACTCGATTTTGTCAAAAAACTGTATAGATTTTAATTAGAAATATTTTATATTGTACCTTGATAACATTTATAAGTTATAATTTGATAAAAATATTCTAATGTGACAAAAACATTATTTTAATGAAAAACAATTTAGAGCTAGCGGATCAATAGGTTGAACGGGTTAGAATTAACATTAATCTTTTATATAATTATTTAAATGAAACTACTATTTCTTTAACACTTTAAAATGTATAACTACAACATTCAAATACTAAATCACATAGGTACTACGGGTTAAATCTAAAAGCATAGAATTTAACTATTACACTTTAAATAACAAAAATTTAATATGTTGTATTTATAGATAAAAATTATATCACGAGTTAAATCAATGTTCAAATCTGTCTAAAATTTTATGTAAAGCACAATTAAAAAAATACATCATCAAATTCTATATATACCCAGATTAATTCTCAATCTTTAAATATTCTTTTAACTTCTAAATTAATCAACCAAAACATTTAACCTCTAAATTAATCAATCAAAACATTTAACCTCTAAATTATATCAATCAAATTTCGTGCTTTTGTAAGTTTATGCATTTTTTTTTTTTTTTTTGGTAAGAAAACGGGAGAAAATCTCCCGGGAAAATTAAAACAGAAAATTAAAGACAAACATGTCGTGGAAACGCAGTTCCGCGCCTATCCTCTCCAAGAATCGAAACAACACAACTTGGAGGCAACTCAAACAAAGCAAAACCCAATGGAAAATTAAACGCATAGTTCGCCAATCCATCCGCGAGGCGATTGGCTTCCCTATACACGTGAGAAACGATTATTATTACGGTAAAAATATTTGTTTACATAGTAAAGTAGCAAAATCATCATATCATAATTACTATTGATATATATATATATATATTAAAATACATATATTTTCTCGCGGTGTACCGCAGCTAAAATCCTAGTAGAATATAATTTTTTTGAAACCAATAAAAATATGAATTAGGAAAATTTTACGAAAATAAGATTAGTAATTTACATATTATACATTTTATAGTTTGGAACATCTATTATACATTTTATAGTTCGGAACATCTAATGGACAGCTACAAGAAAGAGTTTTAATTTAGGGAGAATTTCAAAAATACCTCTTTTCCAATAACACTTTTTAAAAATATCCCTCGTTCTAATTTTATCTAAAAGTCACTATAAAATTTGAAATTTATCAAAAAAATATGTATAAGCTTAGATTTATAGACACAAATTATCTTTATATGTGTGTAAATTTATAAATATATATTTCATAAATACATTTTAAAACCTTTTAAAAATCATTTAAAAACCTTATAAAAAATTTGTAAAACTTTTAAAAACCTTATAAAAACCTTATAAATGCCGTTTAGAACCTTTTAAAACCTTATAAATATTTAGATTTAGTCAAGCAGTAGTAAAGATGATCTTGATGTACCTTATCAACCATATAAAAGTTTATAATTTTTCATATTTGAAAAGAAATATTTTTTAAAATAGATAGAAAATAAAGGTATTTTAAAAAACGAGTACACCAAAAGGGATATTTCTCAAAAAAAAATCTCTTTAATTTATTCGACCACGGTCACGAACAAACACTGATATAATGATCTAAAATATCAACTCCCAATATATAATACCTTACAATACTAAATTTAGCAAGACAATATATTTTATTAACTTACAATACCAGATTTAGCAAGACCTTACACGTAAATGTGTTTTCCAATAGAAACTTAACAACACCATAAAAGATTACAAACCATTTTCTTTTATTTTCACTTAACGTGTTTTATTTTATATTATTTTCAATACCCATATTGAGATTATTGTCATATCATTGGTGTATTCATTGACCATACTTGGCCTTGTACTCTCTCCATAGCTGATTCACATCTTTCCCAAGCAACTCAACAAAGAAGCTATCACTATAACCATTCCTCATCTTCTTGTTCAGCTCAGCCACAAACCCATTCCTCAAACCATTACAATAATCCAAGAACCTCGCGGTAACATCATAACCTTGATCCCATCTATCACCACGACCAGGTCCAACCCAATGGCTCGGGGCATAACCCGCTTTAAGCCTCACGTAATCCGCTATCCCTTCGATAAGCCCACCCGGAGCCCGACCCGCGCCATTCCACTGCCAAGAATGGACTACTTCATGATAAACCACTCCAGTGAATTCTCTTTTTACATCTCCTGATACACCAGCGAGGTATCCCACGTTGAAGTGAATCTCGTTCCCTGTGTTGAACGCTACACCTTGACCGTTCTCCATGAAGAGTGTGATCTTTGTTATGGACTTTCTGTCTGAAGGGTTGGTTTGTTGGAACAAACGCCAAACGAAGTCTGTGGCAGATCTTAGTGACTGTGTGCCATAGCTTACACCACCGATCTCTCCTCGGAATCTCCTTCCTCCGGCGGAGTCACCGGTGTTGTCGACAACAGAGTAGTCAACTGCATTAACCAAAGAAACAATGAGCATTAGAGAGATTACGAAAAAGATTTTGTGAAACGTCATGTTTGTATTTTGCTTGTAGTTTGGGACTATGATGGGACAGTGATGTATATTTATAGAGAAAATAAATGGATTTTGTAAATGGAAAGAATCAAGATTGGTCAATGGAAGACTTTTTCGTCGGTAGTGTACAAATACGACTTGGTATGAATACATATATTATTGTCGGTAAGAAAACAAATAAATTTGAAATAAAGTAGTTTTCTATTGGACTAAGCAGAAGACAAATATATGAGTACTATGAAAGGTGTATATTGCATGATTTACTTAATTTTAATACTAGTCTAAAAGATAATATCTTTACCTTTTTCAAAATGATTTGGTAACCATGATTTAGGAAAAGAATGAGAAAGAATAAGACATTCCTCTTTATTTCTCAATTTTTTTACTATTTACAACGAAAATTGTTTCCACATCATTCTTCTACATTCCTTACAAAGTGAGGAAAAGTTAGAAACAATAGAACAAAAATGTTTCTCCTCAAAATTGATGAGGAACAAATGGAACAAAAAAAAGAACAAATATTAAAAAATTTGATTTTTATTTTAAAATATTTGAAAAAATTCATTTATTGACATAATAAATATTTTTGATCTGAATTTCATGTTAAACAAAACTTAATATTTAAACATTTTATGGATAATAAAACATATTTAAGAGATGTTTATATAATAAATAAAATATAAAAAATTACTAAACTTTTATAATATGTTAATATAAATTATTATTTTTAACATAAAATTTATAAATTTAATTCACAAATACATTATAAAATAATCTGCATATTTATTTAAATACATTTATTTAATTCAAAAATACATTTATTTAATTAATATATTATAAAATATATCGTTATCGTTTGGTTACCATTTATTATTTTGTTCCTTCTCTGCATATTTTCTTTTCATTGCTCAAAAATTGTTTATTCCGTTCCGTATTGTTCTTTTTGATCTTTTTCCTTTTGTTCCTCTAATGGTTACCAGTAGAAGCTATATATAATTTTTTAGATTTGGAACTTTGTATAAATAGATACTATAACTGATAAAAATTATTTACACGTATCAAAACTTTATTAATAAACTTAATATGTGCCGCGATAACGTCAATTAGCAGCTAATTTGAACATCAAATTTTATATAGTAAGATAAATAAAAGAAAAATATATATTTAAGACAGTTTATCAATAAAATCAATATCACAAATCCATTACACATCTAAGCTAAAGTCCAAGTGACCAAATAGTCTAATCAAACCTAGAGGTCATAGCAAATTTGAGTTTTTGAACCTAGCTTCGTTATTAGCTTGCTATGTTTAGCTGACCTATTAATGCCAGTAGTGGTAAAGAAAATTTAAGGGATTATTACAGAATATGCCATTTTTGGTCGCCATTTTTTAATTTTTCTATTTTCTCAACTTCTTTTCAAATTTACCATTTTTTACAACTCAAAAAAATAAATATTTGAGAAATAATTTTTTATAAAAATACATATTTAATATTATACCCTAGAAGATGATAGAACCAAATCAACCTAAATATTATGTATAAAATTGTGTGTTCTGTATAAAAGAAAATGGCCAATTTGATTTTTTTTTTAACAAAATGGCAAAATATGTAAATACCCCTAAAAAGGGTGTAGTTCATAATTGATCCAACTTTTAATTATAATGTTTGAAAGAATTTAAAAGTCATTTCCACAAATAAAATTTTGTGATTGATATATACATATATATATATAGATATATTGCTACTTTTTCGGTATGTAATTACTGATTTTTTAGCGAGAAAAAGCTATTTTTTATTACTTTTGGCCAACATAAAAATGTCAAAAATCATGTGCATTCAAAACATTATGATGTCTCTTGTCCACTATTTTCATTTTCACCAATCTATTAATATATATAGTTATCTTAATTGAGGAACAAAAAATTATTACATTATGTACACTAGGTTTGCACTTTTAAAACGTGTTTTACTATTCTACCATTACTAATAGTCCGATACTTTTGATTTTCAAATTTCTATCCAGTGGCTGAATTAACAAAGATAAATATAATAATTATTTTAATTACTTTGCTTTTTCAAAATGTTTCCATCAATGCAAACGTCAATTTTTCATCTGATGAAATTTACATTGGAGCCTCTAAAATAATAAGAGTGGCATTTTGGTTTACAGAACTGATATTAAATGGATACTAATATTATATAACTGATTCAATCAAATTCCTATAAATTACATGAGAAATGAAGCATCCGAGGGGATTCGGATCCACTAACTTCATTCTATAGTGTGTATGCATGTCTAAAACCAAAAACCAGAATAGAGATTTATATATTTTCGTCGACAAGTCGCGACCGAGAACAACATTCCTTCCTCTTAGCTCTTTTGAGTCTCTATTATTGATGTTGACAAAAAAGTCTCGACTCAACTTGAATCGCTTTGATTATTTTTTTATCCCATACTTTCTTTTATTAAATTCATCGTTTAATATTTTTCTCTCATTTTCTTTCCAAATCTATTGGTTTACTTGTTCATCATTTAGTTCCTCATTCATTGTTTTTCATTTCTATTTCTTAGTTTAGAAAACCAAACGTAAATCCTGTACACTAATTTGAACTGACTCTATCAAGAGAGTAATCAAATTAAGATTTCTCTCTACAGATTTGATCTCTAAATATTACATTGAGATTTCCATGCACGTTTTAAACTCGAGGACATGATCATATTAATGGTTTTTGCATGCTAAACTGTAAATTTGAATGGCCAAACAAATCTAGTAGTAGTTGCTATTTAATTGAAATATCTAACAACTCGCAACTCAAATCATTACAAAAATAGGTCGCTAATTAAGAGCAGTTCAAGAACCTTCTCCAAAACGAACTTAGATTTTTTATAATATCAATTTTAGCAAAGATACATCAATCAATACGTATACATCTATTTTTCAATGGAAAACTTACAAACACCACAAGAAAATGACAAATTGTTTTATTTCGTATTATAAAATTATTATTATAGTTTTTTTTTGCATACCATATTATATTGTTCACCCTCTTTATTTAGCATTCATTGACCATACCGTGCCTTGTACTCAGTCCAAAGCTGGTTCACGTCTTTCCCAAGCAAATCAACAAAGAAGCCATCATTATAGCCAGTCCTCATCTTCTTGTTCAGTTCAGCCACAAACCCATTCCTTAACTCATTACAATAATCCAAGAACCTCATGGTAACATCATAACCTTGATCCCATCTATCACCACCACCAGGAGAAACCCAATGACTTGCAGCATAACCCGCTTTTAGCCTCACGAAATCCGCTATCCCTTCGATAAGCCCGACAGGAGCGAGATTCGCGCCGTTCCACTGCCAAGAATGGACAACTTCGTGATATATCACCCCGGTAAATCCTCTCTTTACATCTCCACCATCATTCACAAGAGCTCCTGCGTTGTAATGTATCTTGTCTTGTGAGCTATATGCCAAGTCTTTACTGTTCTCCATGATCAGTGTGATCATTGGAGTGTCTCTTCTGTCTGATGGGTTGTCTTGTTGGAACAAACGCCACGTGAAGTCTGTTGCTGATCTCATTGCTTGTTCTCCATAGCTAGCGCCACCGATCTGTTCTCTGAATATCTTTCCTCCGGGAGAGTCGCCAGTGTTGTCGATGACTGAGAACTCAACTGCATTGACTAAAGAGACAACGAGCATCAGAGATATTACAAGGAAGGTTTTGTGACACGCCATGTTTTGTTTTTTTTTTGGTTTGTTACTTCTGTATGGCTCGTGTTTTGGGATTGGTGTGTTTAGATTATGAAGAAGCTAAATATTTATAGAGAAAATAAATAGATTTTGGTCATCGAAGACCTTTTCTACGTAAGATTTTTGTAAAGTTTTCTTTTAATATAGTAGAAAATTAATACTATTTATTTTAAGTTTTTATTAATGTAGCTTACTTAACGAAGAAAAGTAAAAACAACTTGTATAATAATTTTGCCGTTATAAGATTTTGTTGTTTTGTCAAAAAAGATAGTAATACTTTTCATTTTCAACTTTTTTTATTATTAAAGCTAAATAGTTTTACCATTTCGCGATGTTTTAAAACTAGTCTTCCAAGATCTTAATTGCTAATAGCTCAATGGTAAAAGAAATTTTAGGGGTCGCCGGTTCGAGTAGCGCTTAGCCGGTTCGAGTAGCGTTTAGGACAAAACCATATAAAATACTCTGATCTCGGTCCTGAAAAGATGTAAAACTAGTCTTCCATTACTTAATGATACAACATTTTGTCTTTGAATAAGTCATTACTTATCTTGGTAGTTTTACTATTACGCTACCATGTATCTTGGTAGTTTTTTCACAATTGTTGACTCAGTCGTAAGGCGTACAAGATGGTGCAAGTAAACTTGGACTACGACAACGACCGTCAAGTTAGAGATTTGGTCATGCACGACTCACGTAATAAATTTCAAATAAGTGAAATTCACGGCATCATTGAAGGCCCACTATTGGCCCAATTAAGAAATGTGAGTAAAGGTTGTGAAAATGATAGGTCTACCATGTTTACTTCAACTTGGTATACTTCCCCGGGATTAGTTTGCATATCATTTGATAGGCATAATGCAGTAGCAATCGGGATAAGTTTTCGAATTTGGTTCAAGAGGGTATACAAGGACCCGCTCGCTAATATGCCCCAATCTTAAACTATTCAACTAAATGATAAACAAGTGATGAGATCATTCGCAGCATTATCGCTACCAAGCATGAGCCTATCAAATTTTGACGTCGCTGTCGGGGATTCAATTTTGATTTACCTTTAGATTAAGGTCGGTTCAAATTTCCCCTAAACTACTCTCTCAAATAAAAGATCATTGTAGTATTTAGGGATCAAATTAGGCATGTCAATTAGGGCTAAAGCCCGCGGGCTAGTCCGGCCCGACCCTGAAAAACCGGGCCTTTTGGACTATGCCCATTCGGGCTAAAAGGTTTTCTGGGCTTAACCCGGTCGGACTCGGACCGGCCCGAAAAGCTTTTAAATAAATATATTTTTATTTTTGTAAATATTTTAGTTTGAATAGAAAATTTGATTAATGAATTACTTTTTCATATTTACTTACTAGCCTTACTTAAGACTTTTAAAATCTTTATCTATCACATTTTCTATTATTTATATATGTCAAAATAGAACAAAGCCAAAATTATATATATATATACAGTAAAACCTCTATAAATTAATAATGTTGGGACCATGCAAATCTATTAATTTATAGAGGTTTTAATTTATCGATAAATTAATAATTATTAATTTATAGAGAGATTTTCCTAATTTGGAAAGTTTTTTCAAAAATATCTAAAAATAAACTCTAACAAAAACTAATGTGTTTATATATACATATATTTTAAAAAATTTACCTAATTATTAATTTATAATATTGATGGGACTATATATTTACAAAGGATTTTCAAAAAAATTATTATCTTATTATTTTATCGATATATGTCTAAAATTACACTGTTCCCAACTTGGGATCAGAAAAATTTATTAATTTATAGAGAGTATTAATTTATCGAGTATTAATTTATAGAGGTTATACTGTATATATATATAAGTATCTTGATTTTGAAATCATCGAAGTATATTAAATATTGACACTATCATCTACTTTAAAGTATTTTAGTTCCATGTTTTATTGGGTTAAAGTGTAAATAATTTATTTAGTTTTCATTTTTTCTCTTAAATTAAGTTAGTTTTAATGAATATTGATAAGTTATTTAAATTTTTATACATTATTTTTATAGTATACTTTTAAATATTGTTTTTTAAAAACTATTATGAACTTAGACCATCATTACTCAAGTACCCCATTAAAGGTATTTCAAATTAAATTAATAATATATTTAACATCAAACCACACGTACCGATACTTAACAAGTGCTTAGGTGCACTATTGAGGTATCGATACTTATGTTTTTATTGTTTTTAAATTAAATTAATTATATTTAAAGTTAAGTATTCTCAGAGTACCCCACTAATTATCTCCAGTGGAGGTGCCCTTAGAAGTTGTTTTTTTAGCGGTAGCTACAGCCCAAAAAGCCCAAAAAGCCCTGTTAGGGCCGGGCCGGGATTTGAAATATAGGCCCAAATATTTTTCGGGCCGGGTCGGGCCGGCTCAAATATAGGAGAGTTTTACGGGTTTGGGGCCGGGCTAGGCCGGGCAAGCCCGATTGACATGCCTAGATCAAATCCATAGAGACTCAAATATTACACAATAAAATATTTGGTATCAAATTAAGCTAAGCAAAAGATTTTTCAAATTTAATTCAAACAGAAAACAATATTAAAAGAGGTTTTAATTCAATGGGAAGAAAAGCTAGGTTTAGGGATTCTCAGGAAATCAATCAAATTAAACAAATTAATAAATTAAGATTCAGATTAAGCGCGAGTCTTGAACTCAAATCATAAGGGTAAAATAAAGCTGCGATGATTAACTATATCTCAAACCCTAAATTCCAAATCTCTATGAGAATTCATAAGTTTAAGACATGCATTAAATTCAAAGGTTGATATGTTCACAAAATCTCTAAATCAAATCTCTTTGCGAATAAGTATTTTGCTCACCCTAGGTTCTTTCAAGTAATTAATCACACTCTCATATCAAACCAATTATCCTAAGATCTAGATTCTAGGTAATCAATCCAGAACTAGCATTAAGAACTACCTATGGTGAAGAACAATAAGATTATGAATCCTAATCTAAAAATTCTACCTAACAAGTCATGAAATTCCTAATGAGAATCCCCTACCCTAACATAGAAAACTACTCAGACATCATGTAGAAACAAACATCATTGTTGGTACCGGGCCTCAACTGTAGATGGGCCGGGCGTTTCGGCCCGTTGGCTTGACTCCATAAGGAAGGCCCGTGGTAAATGGGCTTCGGGGTTGATCTTCGAGTAGTTGAGAAGAAGGAGGAGCGGATTGGCGCTATCTGCTGAGGGAATCACGGAGGCGAGAGATCCTGGGGATCAGACCTGCATTTTAGGAGGAGCGAAGTCGAGTATATAAGAAGGGGGAAGTGTTCTTGTAGAGGGCAGTCCCAGAGAGATAGGGAGATATAGAACAATACCCATTGTAATCAAAAGATATATAAAAATTCAGTTCGCTATTCAAGTTAATCGAGGTTCCTAAATCTATACCGAGAGTCTTACCCAAGTCCTCCACCCCCTTTCATATCAGTTCTTCATATTAGTGGATCCTAGCACCCACAATTTGGCGCCGTCTGTGGGGACGACAGAAAGGCTTCTCTATACACAAAGATCAAGAACCTCACTTCCAGGCGAAATGAACCCATCCCGGTCCGATGTTTCCCTCCCCGGCGTCGACGTCGCAGCGACGCACACTCCACCGCCCGAAAGTACCAGCGTCGTGCCGACGAGTACCGGTATCGCGTCATTGGCGCTCGCTGCCGAATCTTCCCGCCATCTCTCACCACCAGCAGCAAGCCGAGAAACAGAGCCTTATCACTCTCAGCTCGATGCCGACGTACTCGCACGAGCGCACAATCGAGCCCCCCAGATCGCGGCAGGGACCACCTCGATCGGCCCCGTAATCTCATCCAGAGAAAGGGCTTATTCGTGGGTGTGGACCAGATCAGGAGAAGACGAAGCTCGCGTTTCGCGCGAGCAACCCGCAGTGGCATTACCAAACCCGCCAAACTCCCAAGACTTGTCTGAAATCAGAAGCATGTTGACGAGCCTAATAAACAAGACGCAAAATCAGGAGGAAGCAACCCGCGTCCTTACGGAAAGAATCAATCGGCAAGAACAGGAGTTCGTATTCCGTTCGCGATCGGCGCTCAATTCAGTGAGGCCTGAGGAACGATCACTCCCATCGGGGTCAACAGCCATCAATCCGACGCCCCAGACTCGATTAGATTTTTCAGCGGTGAACGTAACCCCGACGGAGCTCAAACTTTTCCCGTCTTCTCCCATTTGAACCCGGGACTAGTCAGTACGACCGTTACCTCGAATAACACCGCCGACTGCATGGTTCCCCCCTTTCGCCGTTACCAACCCATATCGAAACAGATGGGGCCAGAACATCTGCACTCTGCATCGACGACCAAACCGGAATAGGCCAGACACGCGAACTGCCCTGCTTGCAAACCTCGGATCAAGCTCGAGATCATGCGCTTGCCCGCATGCGAGCTACCGATCGTAGTTTACAAAACGCAGCCACTCCGGGACGGAGTCTCATCAGTTCGCAAATGCTGGCGGACTACATGAACCGAACACAAGCAGAGATGGCACAAATGCGCTCGCAGGTCCACTTGGCCATAAGCGCAGCCCCCGACATTGATCGTGTCATCGAAGAGACCAGGCGTACGCCATTTACGGACAGAATCGCAAAGCAACGACTCCGCGACATGGGTAAGCTACGCCTTCCCGAATATGCCGGAACGTCGGATCCGAGAGCTCATCTAAGAGCATTTCGGCTCGCAATCACGCGCGCCTACCTCACAGATGAAGAAAGCGAAGCAGGCTACTGCCGATACTTTGCCGAAAATCTAGTAGGTCCCACGTTGGAGTGGTTCGCAAGTTTAGAAGCGAGCTCCATCGATAGCTTTGATCAGCTCGCCGCCGCCTTCCTCAAACAGTATTCGGTCTTTTTCCAGACCAGAACAACGGAATTGGATCTATGGCTCCTGGTACAAGCTAGGGATCAACCTCTTCGCGAGTACATATCCAAATTCCGAGAGACCAAGGCGCGCATCGCTAACTTGAATGACGAAGTGGCACTAGCAGCATTACGTCACGGCCTTTGGTACACATCAAAGTTCCGCGAAGAGCTAACCGTCCGTCAACCTGCATCTCTCGACGATGCGCTATATAGATCCAACTACTTCGCTCAAGCAGAAGAAGAACGAGCAGCCAAAAGCCCCTTTTCTCGGACCTAGGAAGGGACCCAAGAAAGACTCTTTTGAGCCTGGGCAACACAATTACGCGGTAGAAGCCACCACAAGAAGCAGAAGCCCAAACTTCGACCCCGAGAAATTTTGCAAATTTCATAAGGTCAGAGGCCACTCCACGGAAGAATGTCGAAGCGTAGGGCGCCTCCTCGCCAAAAAACACGAAGCTGGAGAGTTTGGCGATATCGACCTTGAGTTAGAAGGGGAGAAAGCCAGAGAGGCCGGTCCGGCGGGAACCACCACTACGGCCAAAAGGGACCGAACCATCGAAGAAGAGGGTTCTCCACCTCCTGCTCCTAAGAAAAGGATCGACCTTGTCTTCGCCAATCTCAGACTCTGCCAGAGCAATACCAATTCCGTCACCACGCCGCCGCCCGCACCTCGAAAGAACCGCAATCTTCGATCCCGCCTACCAAGCATTTGCACCGAACCAGAAACGGTCAAGCGGGTGGACTACATCACAGGGGGCTCTTCTCTCTGTCGTAACTCGATCAATTTGATCAAAGCCTATCAACGCCGACTACGAAATCACCTTAGAGAAAGGAAACCCCGGTCAGACCCCGACTACGAAATCACCTTTTGGGAAAGTGAGACCTACGATCTCGATAAGCCACACGATGATGCTCTGGTCGTCCGCCTCGACGTAGGCAGATGCGAGCTATCAAGGATTATGATCGAAACTGGCAGCTACGTGGATCTCTTATTCTACGAGGCATATAAGCAGATGGGATATCCTGACTCCGAGTTGAGAGGCGCCCGTACTCCACTAACCGGGTTCGCTGGCGACACAACCTTAGCAAAAGGGACCGTACAACTCATCGTTGAAGCACGAGGAGTACGGAAACTAGTCGACTTTGTGGTCGTAGAACCGTTTAACGCAATCCTCGGTCGACCCTGGCTATACGAAATGAAGGCCGTACCATCAACGTACCACCAATGCGTCAAATTCCCAGCTCGCGGTGGAATCGCAACCATTTTCGGAAGCCAACGCACATCACGAAAATGTTATATGGGCGGATATGAAATCATCAATAAATCCCCCCAATAGCAATTAATAGTCGAGGACGAAGGCGACACCCGGAAAGCCCTGGAACATAAAGACCCCGTCCTACGCGGCCCACAAAAAACTGCGGTCGATCAAGTCTCCATCGATCCAGACCATCCCGAACGATGTGTCGGTATCGGCGCTGATCTCGACAGAGCAACAAGAAACGAGCTCATCGATTTCTTGAAAGGAAACGTGGGTACATTCGCGTGGGATTCAACAGACATGCGCGGTATCGACATCGAAGTAACGTCCCATAAGCTGAACGCTAACCCGACTTTCAAGCCGGTCAAACAGAAACGTCGAAAGCTGGGTCCGGATCGAGCAAAAGCAGTTAACGATGAGGTCGATAGGTTGCTCAAAATTGGCTCGATACGAGAAGTACAGTACGCACAATGGGTCGCAAACCCAGTCGCCGTAAAGAAAAAAAACGGAAAATGGCGAATATGCATAGATTTCAAAGATCTAAACAAAGCATGCCCTAAGGATAATTACCCACTCCCTCATATCGACCGCCTCGTGGAAGCAACGGCAGGCCACCAAATTTTGTCGTTCATGGACGCTTTCTCGGGTTACAATCAAATCCTAATGGATCCAAGCGACCAAGAAAAAACAGCATTTATCACGGATCGGGGGACATACTGCTATAAAGTAATGCCCTTTGGGTTAAAGAACGCAGGCGCAACGTACCAACGACTGGTTAATAAGATGTTCGCAGAACATCTAGGAAAAACCATGGAAGTCTACATCGACGACATGCTGGTCAAATCAATGCACGAGAAGGACCATGTCCCGCAGTTGCGGGAATGTTTCCGAATACTCAATCAGTATGGGATGAAGCTCAACCCTGCCAAATGCACTTTTGGCGTAGCATCCGGAGAATTCCTCGGGTACTTAGTTACCGAAAGAGGCATCGAGGCCAACCCAAAACAAATAGCAGTGTTTCTCGAGATGCCCTCCCCTAGAACTACCCGGGAAGTCCAACGTCTTACGGGGAGAATAGCGGCATTGAATCGTTTCATCGCACGGTCAACCGATCGATGCCTACCCTTTTATCAACTATTGTGAGGAAACAGAAAGTTCGATTGGGACCAGAAATGCGAAGAAGCGTTCCAAGAGCTAAAAAAGTACCTATCCGAACCACCGGTTTCGTCCAAACCAGTGGAAGGGCAGACCCTATTCTTATACGTCGCAGTCTCCCAATTCGCGGTCAGCGGAGTTCTAATCCGGGAGGACCAGGGCGAACAAAAGCAAATTTACTACGTTAGTAAAACACTAGTAGATGCCGAAACACGCTACCCCGCGTTGGGAGACTGCAGTCGTCACATCGGCTCGTAAACTCCGACCATACTTTCAATCGCACACAATTGTGGTCTTAACATCACAACCTTTGCGAGCCGTCCTACACAGCCCGAACCAGTCCGGCAGACTAACCAAGTGGGCAATCGAACTCAGCGATTATGATATCGAGTACAAACCCCGGACCTCCGCAAAGGCACAAGTCCTTGCGGATTTCATAATAGAACTCGTCGTCGGTGACAACCCAGAGACTAACGGGCCGACAAAATGGTCACTGTACGCCGATGGTGCCTCATCCAAATGGGGTTCCGGCATAGGAATTCAGATAATTTCCCCAACCAGGGAAGTTATGGAACAGTCATTCCGCCTCGGTTTTCCGGCATCGAACAACGAAGCCGAGTACGAAGCCCTTATCGCAGGCATCCGACTCGCTCTCGGGATCGGGGTCAAAGAACTGGAAGCATTTAGCGATTCCCAGCTGGTCACCAGCCAATATAGTGGTGAATACGAGGCCAAGGACGAACGAATGGACGCATACCTCCACATCCTCCGATCTCTCGCTGACCAGTTCACTAGTTTTAGCCTGACCAAAATCCCTCGTGGAGAAAATTCAGCAGCCGACGCCCTTGCTGCCCTCGAATCTACGTCTGATCCCGCAATCAAGCGAATAATCCCTGTGGAGGGAATCGAGAAACCGAGTATCGATATTCCCATCAAAGCAAACAACGTAAACAGTATAGAAATCGACGAGTATCCAGGCATTGAAAACGCGGAAGTCGACGAAGACATAGATGAACCCGGCATCCCGGAACCCAGCGAAGGCGAAACCGAAACCCGTCATACCGAAGACGACTGGATGAGCCGTCCAGGCATTGATAACGCAGAGATCGACGAAGACACAGATGAACCCAGCATCCCAGAACCCAGCGAAGGCAAAACCGAAACCCGTCAAACCGGAGACAGCTGGATGAGCCCAATACTGGACTACATCGAAAACGGGGCGACCCCGCAAGATCGCTGGCAAGCACGAAAACTCAAGGCACACAGCGCCCGATATTGCATCATCAAGGGGAAGCTCTACAAGCGATGTATATCAGGCCCGTATCTCTGGTGTGCTGATGCACGACAAGCCCAAACCCTTATGACGGAGGGGCACGACGGCCAATGCGGAAACCATTCCGGAGGAAGGTCTCTAGCTCTCAGAATCAAGAAGCAGGGTTACTTCTGGCCCACAATGATAGCCGACTGCGAGCAACACTCCAAAAGGTGCGATAAATGCCAGCGACACGCGCCAAACATCAACCAGCCCACCAAAATAATGAGCTCGGTATCTTCGTCATACCCCTTTATGCGATGGTCCATGGATATTATCGGGACACTAGCACGATCGGGACGACGTAAAGTAACAAACTTACTCGTCTTAACCGACTATTTTACCAAGTGGATCGAAGCGGAATCCTACCAAGCAATTACGGGAGAGCACGTAAAAGACTTCCTATGGAAAAAGTCGTCTGCCGACACGGTATTCCTTTCGAAATCGTCACAGACAACGGAACAAACCTCACATCTTCCGTTGTCCAGAAATTTTGTGACGATTGGGGTATCCGTCTAACCCCCGCAACACCCCGGTATCCACAGGGCAACGGCCAAGCCGAGGCAGCAAACAAAATAATCCTACATACCCTCAAACGGCGGTTAGATGCATCGAAATCACAATGGGACGCACACCTCCCCGGCGCCTTGTGGGCCGCCCGAACCACACCACGGAGATCTACAGGGGAAACCGCGTTCTCCCTCGCATACGGGATCGAAGCGGTGATTCCGGCGGAACTCTCCGTTGGGAGTATCAGGCGTTCCCTATGCCCGGAAAATGAAGACGTCAACAACAGAGCTCTACGGCATAATCTCGAGTTCATAGACGAACACCGAGAACAAGCCTTAGTACGAATACAAAACTACCAAAACACCGTAGCCCGATTCTATAACTCCAAAATACGGCCACGACATTTCGCTTTGGGGGACCTTGTACTAAGGAAGGTGTTCGATCATAAGAAAGAACTCAACGCCGGGAAAATGGGAGCAAAATGGGAGGGCCCATACCGCATAACCAGCATAGTGCGCAACGGCGTGTTTCGACTGGAAAACGTCAAGGACAATAAGCCAGAGATACGTCCCTGGAACGCAATGAATCTAAAGAAGTACTACCAATAAGTACCGATAACAATCGAACTACGAATAGGCTTGATCCCTTTACGGGGTACGTAGGCAGTTCGGTAACCCGAGTGCAGCCACCACCTCCACATTTCCGACTATTGTACACTCTAGTTCGAAATTAATAAAACATCCGTATACATTATCAAACACCTATACATCAAATCACGCGCGCCCTGGCACGCATATCAAAACTATCGCATAACCACAACTCTGAAATCTTCGAAAGGCGATGTCCAAGACAATATCCCCGAAGTATTTCAATACTATCTTATGATAAACTAGCCAAACATAAAACCCAAAGAGGCGAAACAACAACAAGATAAGCAAACAAACGCGCGTACGCAAACACGCAAGTGACAAACAAGGCATGTTAGGCGGCAGAACCACGCTTCGGACTCGAGTCGTTATCTTGACCCAAAACACCACGAACCATCAAATAATATTTTGGTAGGTCAAAAAGGGAAAAGGAGCGCAAAGTTCCCATTGCCACATTCCCTCAAAAAAAAAAGCAAAGCAGCAACAAAATACAATAACAAGGTTTAAAAAACCATCCAAGGCAACTGAAATATCATGAAACGCAAGGATTAAAACCCTCCCGGGCAGAAAGTATCGAAGGACAGAAGAAATCCTACAAGAAGGAAAATAAAAGAAACAAAAGAAGAAAACTGAGGCCCATCTTGGACTTGATCCGCAACGCGAGCTTCCACTTCATTTTCGACCGACGCATTGGTTCCGTGCTGGTTCAAACCTTGAGAAATTCCAGTCCGCTCATCCACTTCCATGGGAGCCACCGAATCCTCCGAAATCTGGGGGAGATCGAGTTTCCCAATCGATAAATCCGATACCACCAACGATGCCGCCTGGGCTTCGAGGTCGACCTTCTAGGATCGAAGCACTTCTTTCTCTCCTTCCACGGTCGCCCTTCCCTTCTCAATTTGCTCAAGAAGCAGCAAATTAGAAACGGTCTCAGCAAGTTCACTGTCACAGGCCGCTTCGGCCTTCTTCTTTTCCCATTTGGATTTGATACCTTCAAGTACCTGACGGTATGCTTCGGACATTTCAGCTCGCGATGCACGAACGGCACGACGAATAGCGGAATCGCGAACTGCTTCCCCCGTTTTCAGTCGGGCCGTCAACCTCTCGACCTCCTCGGCAAGAGCATCTTTCTCTCGAACGGCCGCATTCTTAGAAAGAAGGGCGTTAGTAAGGTCGCCTTCAGTCGCAACTAATTTCGCACGAACCGCCGACATTGCTAGCAGGTCCTTCTTCAAAGCAGTAACCCGTTCTTCGAGCTCAACCTCTCTAGTTTGAGAGGTCCTAAGAGCTACCGTCAGCTCATGCACCACCTTCTTGGTATTCTCCAATTCTTCGGTTTGAGGAACATCAGTTAACCGCCTTTCATATAAAGCAACAAGCTTGTTTTGAGCAGCGAGCGCCTAAATTCCATTTCAAAGAGAAAATATACATACATTAACAAATAAAAGGGAATAAGTTTTCTTACGTTTTTTACTTCGATGGAGTCAAGGAACGAATAACTAACGTAAATATACTTACAAGGGCCTGAGCGGACATAGCGTCAATATAAGCGTCCCGTTCCGCGAGGTCCCTAACCAGAGGTATAGGGCATCCCAAACTCTTGAGGTGACGGAACAGGTTCGCCATCCCTATAGGGTCTTCAACAGCCGGAGAATCTTTGGAATGGGCAAATTTCCAATGGAACGGGCGGCTCGCCGACGAACCTTGACCGGAATCAGCGGCCTTATCATCAGGAAGCTGATCCAATCGAGCTCCAGAGCCGTGAGGATCACGACGATAACTACCCCGACTTTCGTAGGGCCGACCGTCCCTGGATGGGCGAGTCTCTGTCCTCGCCCGTTTTGACTGAGGCGCCGGGAGTTCGGAGCTTTTGGTCTGCGAATTGACAAGCATGATGACTTTGTTCGCACTAGGCATCAGGTCTTGGTTGACTTCGACGCTGCGAGCTGCTGGGGCTGAGGGTAGACCTCGAAGTGCGGAGGCCAGCGCGGCATCCACATCTCCAGCTCGAACGCGCCTAGAGACGGTGGATTGCTCGCGAGCTTCCCTGAGAGTCGGTTTCCTCGTCATTTGCGATGGAGCGGTGGTCGATGACGAACTCGAAATGCGCTGTTGAGATGGCGCGGCTGCGAACATTTGTATATAACCGAAGTAAATAAAATTTGAGTGTAACACCATTGAAATTCCAACTGGGATTCAGTTTAGTGTGATTTACCTAGTGGTGTCGGACGGTTAAGAGCTTGGACTATTCGAGCTCGAGTAAACGTGTTCCACCGGACTCGACCGTTTCGCAACTGATCGGTTAGAGCTCGAAGTTCGGAGGTTAACGGGCAGTCTCCGGTATCTGCAACAGGAACCATATTATTTGACATAAAAAAAAAGAATTTTAACAGAGAAATTTGTGCTAACAAGGTTGCAGTCCTATGTTAGATAATAGTAAGGGTTGGGTTCTCTAGCCACCCTGACCAACGTTTATCGCCCATTGGGTAGGCAATTGCGAGAAGTTAAACGCCCCAACAGAAGCCGAGGTGACACGAAAAAAGAAGTATTTTTCCCTCCACCGGTCATCTCTTCCCGGTATGCCTTGGAGAATTTCACGGTCGGGCCTGCGGGATAGGTAATACGTTCCCTTATAACCCGAGTTGTGTTTAATATAACACATCTGTAAGATTCCATCGACTCCGAGTACGAGTCCTTCCTCCTGCGCCCGAACGAATAGTCCAATCACATGGCGGACAAAGTTGGGACACATTTGCGGGAAGGCCATGCGGAGGCGGCGGAGTACGAGGAAGATGATTCCCGGTATTGGGAAAACGAGTCCGCATCGTTCAAAATACGTGGTGTACGCACAGCAAAACCCTTCCGGGACGGTTTCTGGAGAGTACGGGGACCCAGGCGAGAGAATCATGTCCACCATGGGAGGAACTCCGTGTTTCTGCCGCAGATCTGACAAGTGCTTGTCGGTGGTGATCGGAGCGAGATGACTACCCCATACTTCTTTGCTACCCATAGTGAAGCACCCGGTGTATCGGAGGATTGTCAGAATAAAAGGGCGGTGTTCCCAGGAATTAAATAGGAATGCAAAACCTGTCTGTTTTAAAAAAAAAGAAGAACAAGAAAATAGAAGGAAAGAACTCTACCTTGGTAGTGGGCGACGACGTGATAATAATGAGTTGTGGAGCGGTTGGTTTTATACCCCTTTATGGGGATAATTTTCGAAACACCGTGCGTATCTTTTTCCAAGATTGTGACCGTTCGACTTTCGATCGTCACCGTTGGATTCAAGCAAGGATCGAGGCGGTTATTATTTTGGATTGCTCAAAGTGAGATTTGGTTCGATCAACTATGAAGGAGCCCAAGCAACAGAAGGATTCTCCGGATTTTTCGTCCATCAATTTCGAGCTCGACATCAATGCACTGGGGGGCTATTGTTGGTACCGGGCCTCAACTGTAGATGGGCCGGGCGTTTCGGCCCGTTGGCTTGACTCCATAAGGAAGGCCCGTGGCAAATGGGCTTCGGGGTTGATCGTCGAGTAGTTGAGAAGAAGGAGGAGCGGATTGGCGCTATCTGCTGAGGGAATCACGGAGGCGAGAGATCCTGGGGAACAGACCTGCATTTTAGGAGGAGCGAAGTCGAGTATATAAGAAGGGGGAAGTGTTCTTGTAGAGGGCAGTCCCAGAGAGATAGGGAGATATAGAACAATACCCATTGTAATCAAAAGATATATAAAAATCCAGTTCGCTATTCAAGTTAATCGAGGTTCCTAAATCTATACCGAGAGTCTTACCCAAGTCCTCCACCCCCTTTCATATCAGTTCTTCATATTAGTGGATCCTAGCACCCACAATCATGTAAGAAACAAACATCATGAACTGAATAATATAGATTAAGAATATCAAAAGAGAAAAAAAGCAGTTCAAAATCTCTCTCTCCAAAAGCTCTCCAACAATTCTCTCAAAAAACTCAATATATATGTCTAAACCACAAACTGGGCTTAATTGCAAATAAAAGAAATTTCTGGGCTGAATCTGCAAATCTTCAAAACTGCAACTACTCGCGAATTTTAATTGCCGTCAGATATTGGTGTTGACCGACACCTGAGGAAGTGTCGATCGACACGTATACCAAATATGCTCTTCAAATACATTTCTTCAGCCCATTTTCTCCAAATGCTCCACTGTGCTCCAAAGTTTCCAAATAAGTTCAAAACGTACATAAACCTGAAAATACTCTAAAAGATTCGAGAAAACTATTAAAACTTTATAAATAAGACTTATATCATGGCCAAAAACTCGTAAAAACCATAATATATCAGAACCACACGTTAAGTTTACGAGACAGTGATGCACAAGAACTTCTCCTCGTTGTACCTTTCGATTTCCTACAAACCACTTGGAAATGAAAGCTAACATTCTCAAATATCTGGTCTCCAAAAACAAGGAAGATCCAACGGTGAAAAATCTTATATCAGACGCGCGATTATGCATTTCCAATCATCTAAAATGATCATAAATTCTGATCTAGATGAATACCTATGAATATTTGATAAAAACTAAAATACACTAACAACACTCTTTGACTAAAAGAATACTCAAAATAAATATCAGACAAATGTTATTTTTATTTTGAGTATTCTTTTAGTATACAAAACTCTGTCACTAGCCATCCTTAGAAACTCGACTGACTACTGTTATTTTTGTAGCTATATCAGTGTTACATATATGTATCTAACAAGCAGTTGGCTACATTTGCCGATTGAGAAACAAGTTTGTGGCCATCCATGACTAGACTAAATGTACCACATATCTCTGGTTAGAGCCAAAAAAAAAACATTTAGTGGCCAATCCCTGTGTTTCTTGAAATGACTTGTTCAATTAATTATGGAAAGAAAATTCAGTAGCATCCACCATTTCTTACTTTAAATAAGTACCAAAACAAAGCAAACAGAGACAGCAACATACATTCAATACAAAACTCTTTAAAGAACAAACATAAGTTAACAAAATCTCAATAATAATAAACAAGATAAGATAGTTTAGTGTACTACTAGCAATAAGGGCTTAACCATAAACTCAAATATCAATCTCCACCGGGTATCTATCCATACAATCTTCCCATGGACTGTTTGCTGAAGGCTTAACATCTCGAAGAGCCACCCAAACTGAACTATTACACTTAAAACCTGACCCCAAAGCAATCTGCCAAATCCTATCTCCTTCCTTCATCCTTCCTTTAGCTTCTGTATAAGCTAACTCATACCAAATTGAGCTTGAAGAAGTATTACCAAACCTGTGTAGTGTCATTCTTGATGCCTCAACGTGTAATGGAGAAAGCTTAAGATTCTTCTCTAGCTCATCTATTAGAGCTCTTCCACCAGCATGGATACAGAAATGCTCAAAGGCAAGCCTAAAGTCTGGTGTATAGTTCTTCAACTCTGGCTTGAAATACTTCTTTTTGATAAAAGTAATAAAGAAGGCAAGCTTCTCTTTCAATGGAAGAACAAGAGGACCTAAAGTTGCAATATTGATCTTTAGAGTCCTTGCAGCCACCATAGGTAAATTCTTTGTCAAGGTAACTCCAATTATGCCATCTTCATCTTCTTCTTGTGTTGCACACTCGAAGGACCTATCATCAGATCCGGTATGGATCCGTACCGTGTGAACAAGCTGGTATTTCGCGCGTGCACGGTCTTTAGATCTGTTGGAAAGCAGAACCGCGGCACCACCAAGCCGGAACAAGCAGTTTGTGACTAGCATTGATTTGTTTTTCCCCAAGTACAAGTTCTGAGTGATGTTCTCTGTACTTACTACAATAGCATAAGTGTTCCTATGAACTTGTAGTAACCCCTTAGCTGCATCAACAGCTATAACTCCAGCACTACAACCCATACCTCCAAGATTCAAACTCTTGATGTTATCTCTAAGTTTGTACTTGTTCACAATCATGGAAGCAAGTGATGGAGTTGGATTAAACGTGCTAGAATTCACCACCAAGATACCTATATCATCAGGCTTCACACCGGTGTTGCGAAAAAGATTGTCAAGAGCTCCGAATATTACTTCTCCCGTCTCTTTACGTGAAGCCCCCAAGCCTTGCTCAAGAGGAAAACACTGAAAGCCTTCTGGTATGTATGTTTCTTGACCAAGACCGGAACGTTCAAGAATCTTCGCTTGGAAGTCAATTAAATAGTCGCTCTCTTTGTTCTTCCAACACATGCCTGCTTCTCTTGCACGTCTCGCGTATCCCATTAGAGTTTGGATACTGACCTTGAGATGTGACGGTGGAAGGTAGCAAGAGAAGTCAACAAGGTAAACAGGTTTAGGTCGGGTAAACATGTAAAGGATCCACACTAAACCGATAAGAAACGAGAGAAGGCTTATGGTTTGAAGGTTGTTCTCCATATGGTGGAAGAAGAGGTTTTGGAGATCATCTAAGTTGATCTCATATCGTTTCATGGCTAATGCAACCATTAAAGAGATGAAGAAGATCTTCAAGAAACCCATCTTTAAGCTCTTCTTCATTGAATACAACTTAAAGATCGTAGGAAAAAAGAGAGGACAAAACAAGGTCTTGTTTAAGTGTTTGCTCTTTTGGTTCTATTTTAAGTTGTGTCGTGACATATTTTCTCAAGCTGGTTTGGTTTACATATATAGAAACGTTGAGTGTGAATCTAGAGAGTGATGACCAAACGTATTAATTGTTCTTTCTCCTTATTCTATAATTATATTTTCTTGTTCTTAGAATATTATGGTACTTAAGTACTCAAACATCAATCAAGTGCTTTGTGTTTGGTCACATAATTAATATTTTTTTTCTAGGAGACATAATTAACGTTGACAATGTATGAGTTTAGTACATTCACAATCAAATGAAAAATTGAAGCCGCACATATTTTGTAAATTTTTTTGTCGTGACTCTTTGAATTATTACTCTTTAGATAATGCTATATTTATGGAGTATCTACCCACCACATTCATTCATGAGTAATAAATAAGAGTGACGAAACAATCAACTACCTCATTTTACTCTAGTCGACCGTATACAGTTTGAACTATGTGATTCAAAAATATCACAAAACATGCCATTACAAGCTAACGTAGTAATATAGCCTTTTACATTTAGATATGTCCTTTGGTTTGAAAACATACATAATAAGTTGTTCGAGTTTCGACTAATTTCGCAAAATGGGATTTACAAATTGGTTATGTACACCAAACTAATGAAATGGAACTAGTAATTAGTATTATAAACCGATACAATCAAGTCTAAAATACGAGTAATTTCGCAAAATGGGATTTGCAAATTGGTTATGTACACCAAACTAATGAAATGGAACTAGTAATTAGTATTATAAACCGATACAATCAAGTCTAAAATACACTTTGTTGGCTAAATTTCACAAAATTACTAGTAAAATACCGGTATATATTATACAAAATAAAAACCGTTGTATAAACCGATAAAATCAAGTCTAAAAATACACCCTTTTTAGCTAAGTTTCACAAAACTACTAGTAAAAAACCGGTATATAAACCGATGCAATCAAGTCTAAGATAAACTTTTTAGCCAAGTTTTACAAAACTAGCTAGGTCAAAATGTTACCGGTTATACAAGATACAAGATAGATTTAAACAGTGTCATAAATTTTGGTTGCATAAAAGATGAAATTATTCAATGTACCTACAGAGTGAAGTAGACCCAACATTTAATGGCGTTCCAAAATAGTCGGTTAAGATTGCTTGGCTATGGGTAGATCTCGATGGTCAAGTAGAGGTATTGATATGGTTGAGGGGAAAATATATTAACCTTTGTACATTAATTTATAAATAATGATTCACCTTACTCAAGATGGTTTATAAATAGCAATTCATTAATTTTAACTTAAATTTTAAGTTATGAAATACATTAAATAATTAACTTAAAGTACCTAACTAATTATCGTAATTTTTTTATTTTTTTAACTCACCACAAATTGTTTGAAACTATGTTCTTATTCCGCCATGATTTTTATCATGGGTATAGTTGTTTGAAATGTCAATATATATGTATCATCTTCAAAATAGTGTTGCTAATGCAGTTTTCCCAAATAACCAATCTACAAAGATTAACTAAAAAAATACATTTTTACTTTAATTTTTAAATATATAAAATAAGCATTAAAATTAACATTTACCATGTATCTATGCATAAAACTAACTAATCTAATCTTACTGTAGTTCATGAAAATTACTTACTTTATACTTGTTGTTTTATCGATTTTCCTGTAAAATTACTTTTACCTTTTTAAAAACCATTGAAACATTTTACTCTTCATAAAACTATACATATTTTATTTTTATTCCAAATAAAATTACACTACCGATGCAATCATATAACTATGATTCTTAAACTGGATTTAAACATAAACTAAATCATCTTTACTATTTTTGCGATTAGAACAATTCGAGAATTACTTCGTTTGGCATTATCGGGTCACACATATCCGACAACAATATCCAGTTCTTGGTTGGGTATACTTTTTTCAAATCCATCATAATTTTCTTTTTTGTACCATACATACCAATTGAGAAATATGAAGCACACTTAACAACATTAAAAGATGTTTTACCCTTGTTTTAGTCATTGAGATGTTTTTCTTATTTAGTTATTTCAATCACATACAGAAACACAATTACTTACTTATCAAGATAAAATAAAAAATCATTTTGCTGCCAAATTGCCAATTGTCCTCAATTAATTATGTTGATAAAGACAAAACACAGATTACAAAAACATAGTACGAAGTTACCTAACTATGTTTAAGACTTTAAATACAGGTTTAAGTCCAGAGTGCTATCCAGAAAAAATGGAGAATCATAGACTTGGCACAGCTTTCAATATCATTCACCTATGGATTTTAAATCTCATTGAACAGTTAGGTTGACGTTGATTGGTTTTAATGATTCTCTTATTGAGATTAAAAATTTATAATAATGAATGATTATTTATATAACTATATATATACTGTATATTGTTATTTACATAACTATATCAACCATATCACATTCAATGCTATTGTGCATCATGATACAAATAGTGTTACCTACTCTGAGAACCAAATATATTGTTTATTTACTTTGCTACTAGGATTTAACTCGAATCCAACTACAACAATCTTCTTATATAACTCTAATGTTTTATGAAATTTTTTGAGAATTGCCATTTTAGTATGTCTATTTTTCAAAAATGTCTTATATATATATATATATATTTTTTCACAAAGTTACCACATGAGTATCATCTATATCTATATTATTATCATAACTATATGCATATTATAAATGATATAAAAAAAAAACTGATTAGAAATTAACAATGTAGAAACTTACTTGTATCCAAGATGTTGTAATTGGACATAGAAGCTGCCAATATAATCAAGAATAAAAAAGTCATGGAAGTCTTTGTGACGTTCATTTTGTCTATGCTTGTCTATTCTATTCTATTTCATGTTGTATCAGTCAATTGGAAAAATATGTTCTGTGGTTTTCTAAATCGTAGGTAAAAGTTTATTTATAGAACCATTTGGGGTTCTTAAGATTGTGAAAAAAGAAGTTTATGATTATTTTTCCTTACCATTGATGATCTTCCATATTTATTAATTATTACTTTACTTTTGAGTAAGAAAAAGTTTCTTAACATTATTGTTGGATCTTCCACATAAATCTTTTTTTATTGACTGACATTTATTTTTTTTTATTTTTTTATGAAAACGTTTTCCTAGATCATATACTAAATTTCTATTATTTTAGACTTTTTAGTTATTATTTATCTTTTTGTACTGGCAACATTTACTGGTGGTTTCTTTAACATTTACACAATAAATAAATTCGAATACTGATAAATTTCTGTCACAATTAGATCAATTAGTAACAAAAATACGACAGATTGTTGTTGGGTTGTAATTTTGAGATGAGTAAAGAAATTAGAAAAATAACGAGATGATGAAAATACACAACTTATTCTTACTCCATTTAATTCGATGATGAGAATAAATTCCCAAAGTCAAGAGTACTGTTGAGTTTATTAGAAAAATAGGGAATTATGCAAGCAAAATTATTAACTCTGAAAAAAATATATATTTCCAAGTGAAAATAGTATTCTTCAACAAAATTATTTTGATGGAGGTCAATAGAGAGGTGAGATGCCAAAGATTTTCAAGTGAAGATGTGATTTTACCAACAAATTTTTTTTTTTTCGAGGATCAACAAATCACTGAGAACCAAAAGACTTCCAAATGAATTTGGGAGTTCACCGAAAATACCTTTGTGAAAGAGGCGAAATGTGGTGAGATAAGTAAGGTTTCCAATTGAAGAAAGAATCTTACCACTGAAATTGTAATAAGGGAGGTTGAAAAGGTGAAATGTATGATCAAGTGCTAATAGCTTAATTGGTAAAAATCTCTGGCAAAAGCTTAAAGGTCGTCGGTTCGAATAACGTTTGGGACAAGACTATATAATATGTTCTGGTCTCGGGCCTGAGGGGATATAAAAGTTTCGGCCCAAAATCTTTTTGATTATTAAAAGAAAAAAGGTGAGATGTGAAAGATATGTTTAAGTGAAGGTAGAGACTTCACCAACAAAACTATTATGTAAGAAGTCAAGAAATGTGAGATGAGAAAGGTTTCCAATCCTACCAATGAAATGATTTCTAGAAATGTCAATAGTGGTAATAAGATTAATAAAGCTTTACAAGTGAAGATGGGATTTGACACTATTAGAGAAGTCTAAGAGTTGTTAGAAATCGTTATAGTTGGAGACTAAAAAGACTTCTATCGGAATTGAGCTGGCCACAGATCTAGGCATCCTAATCTAAGATCTACCTCGGTCATGAACTTGGCATCACATCTAATACCGCTCCAATAACAATTGTCAGAAAAGATATATGCCTCCAAAGTCTCAGACTTGTTCTTGAACTAGATAATTGCATCCATTCGATCCACAAAAATGTAAGAGCCACAAAAATGTCTATAAAATAAAAGAAAAAACATGGAATGACACTGTTTTAGTTCTAAGAGTGTTTCATCTCTCTTTTAAGGATTAGTATTACTTTCTTGAATATCTATAATGAAAAACCAAGAAACTGGAAATTGTGATGATATCATGGTTTCATGCTCATATCTTTATTATAATATACAAAATAAAAGAAAAACCCAAATAGTAATAGTGTACGAACACACACACAAAACAAAACAAATTTAGGCTATCAAAGTAACAACAATTAAATATCAACTTAATTGTTTTCTTGCATCCTTATACAAAACTTAAAAATTTAGAATTCAATTGTTTTCTCCCAAAGCTTCCTTCTCCATATTTTGTATGGTTTGTTTCATGTATTTGATTTCTTGGTCTGAGTTTCTTCAGCTTAGATTTTAGAAAAAAAGAAAACGTTAGTTTAATTTGTTCCACACATCAATAAACCTTTATTGTAATATTAGTCTTTATTCTTACAAATTTAGAACATTACCTTTCTAATGACTTATAATGCAGGATCTTATGCTTTTGAGTTTGTTTCGGTCAAAAAGGGTTCTTGAACCACTTTGGTTTGTAGGAAAACATTATGTATGCAATTGTCAATCCAAAGGCAATACCAAGTATGAATCCTA